CACGGTGTTTGGGTTTAGGAGGATATTCAGATATTCTACTAGAAGATTTTTTTGTGTACCAGGAAATAAGAGTGTGTCGAACAGTGCAACCATATACATGACCTTGAATTCTTCGTCTATGACATTGGATATTTTCAATCTTTCCAATAAATCTACAATCTCAATCTTGTCTGGATTAATCTTGAAAAACAAAAAGTACTTGATCTCTCCAGCTCTGCTATTTAGGTCTATATTAATATCAATATCGCCTTGAGGGATACCTAGAGCTTTAGGTATGTAAACGGGTCAGATTCAGATCAAATCAGGCTGATCCGAATCTGAATCCGATTATCAATGTATATATTCGAATTCGAACCGAAATCCTATAGGATTTCTACTTGTTATTACCGAATTCGAATCCGATAAAAATCTGAAATCTGAATAAAAAATCCAATCTTAATAACTGTTAATAATAATTAAAATCAAATAATCAATAAGTAAAAAAATATGTAAAATCAAATAAATTATTATTTATGATTGATAAAAATTCATGTAAGATTTATGTTTAATTTTTTTTCTTTTATTAAAATATAAATAAAATTTAAAAATAAATTATTATTTATAAATGATAAAGAAGAACTTTTGTTATATAATATATTACAAAAATGATGATAGGATTCTAATGTTTTATAAAATTATCAAGTTTTATTTGTATTATAGTTAGAACTTAGAAAATTTTATAATCAATTTATTCAACTATTTCATGAAATTTTAAAAGTAATTAATTATTAAAAATAATACCTACTAGAAAAACTAAAATTAAGGAAAGTAGAAGAATATTATAGAATAGTTTAGAAAAAATATACATTATTCTATTAAATAAAATATCTCACAAATACAAATTAGTGCATTATTAATTATAATGTCATATATATTACATTATATATAAAAGTATTTATTAATATATATAATTATTAATTAAATAAAATTATTATTAAAATATTCGGATTCAGATTTTTAACAGATCGGATTACTTAATTCTATATCCGGTCCACTTATTTCGGATTACGGATATTTGTAATCGAATTTAATCCATCAGACATTTTAATCGGTTAAACAGCCTAAAATTTGAATCGAATTCGGATTAAAATCCAACCCATTGACAGCCCTACAAAGCTTCATGCCCAACATTCTTGTCAATAATAATAGTACTGTCATGAATATTTAGTTTTTCAGTACTTGAATCGTATCTATTCATTAAATATTTTAACATTATCTTATCAATTTTATCCCAAAATATGTCCACAAATGCTCCAAATCCCATATTTCAAATTGCATTTTTCTGATTTTCACTCAAACACTTGTTAACCTCTATTAGTTTAGGTAGAGAGGTTCTATGTTCCCGTTTTTTGTCCTGCAAATAGTCAATTTAGTTTTTATGAATAAAGTTAGAAAAATGCATAAGTTGAAGGTACAAAAGGACCCTCAATTAAATTTATTTTATACATAATTTTCTAATATTTTTATTCTCTAATTTTAAATTAATTACAGAAGTTTAATATATAATATTTATTTTTAACATAAAAAGCTCAAAACTTATTTACTAAAAATTTAATACTTAATTTTAGTTTTTCTTACACATGTTTCAATAAACTACAATTGTAATGTACAAAAATAGTCATTAAATTGATAAACCTTTATTTATAATTTTTACGTGTTATTCTAAATTCTTGGAATTTTAATTAATTATAAATGTTAAATTTATAATATTAATACATGACTCAATAATTAAATTAGTTTATGAATAAATTTATCCAACAATTAATTAGAAAGCATACATGTAAACTATTAAATTACTCATTAATTAAAGTAAATCATTAGTTTTGTTATATTAAAATTTAAAATAATTTATTGCTAAATTTAATTAAAAATATTTTATATGCAATTTTACAACCTTAAACAATTGTAATACTAAATTAATTACAAAATTTTATTTGAACTAATAAAACTATAGATTATAAATTCAAAATATGTAAATGTGTACCTTATTTTCTGTCAAGAATTTATTCTTCCTATTGGCCATAAAGTCTTCATACATAGAAAACTTCTTATCAATCTTTGTCCATATCTTATCACTCAACTTTGTGCGATTTGGGTCAATGTTGAACATACTACAGTATGATCCTTTAAACGTCTCTCTCGATCTTGTACTATATTAATTCTTGACATGATAGACATTTCTCTCTTATGTCGTGTCTGACTTGAGGGACAATTGATATGGTCATGGACTAAGTTTTCCAGTATATCAATCAAATTCCACTTTTGTTTACCATCACTTCTATTATGGTTGTTCCTACGAAAATTTTATTAATCTTAGTATCCAATCATAATAAACTTAAAAAATATAAAAATTAAATAATACAAAATATTACTCTTTGGCAGACTCAATAAATTATGTAGACTTTAATGACTGGTTCAACCCTGTTATCTATTATTAATTAAGAGCTCAACTTGATAAACTAATATCCAAATATTCTATAAATTTTAAACAAATAAGAATTTAGTTCTTCACATTCTACTATGTATACTGAAAAAAATTTCTATACAAATAAATGTTTAGAAATGTTAATATATACAGCTTTGGTGTTATTGTCCTTAAAATCATAAGTAAACATAGTTGTAACAATGTTAAGGAGAAACAGAGTTCCAAGATTAAAAGGAAACATAGTAACACAATCAAAGACAATCTAAAATATAAACCAAAATATAAGAAGAAGTAGAGTTTAAAAGGAAAACATATCTCTCAGATGATTGCAATCCCTCATGAAATTCTTTATTTGTCAAAAGCTTTAGTCCACACTATCATGTCACCAAGATTTTGTTGATGTCGTTGTTAAAATGCAGCGACATCGATAATACATAGAACAATATTTCTTTTCTTAATATCAACAAATGGAATTCAATATGGCATTATATAAACACCAATAGATAAGTTTATGCAACTATAATCTCATTGACTTTGTCTTGTTCGTATGTGATTAGCTTTATCTAGCTTGTTGGATTTATCTTTTTGGTCAAATTTGGTCTTAAATTAATAATATAAAAATAATATATTATTTTCCCATAATTTTTTTATCTGATTACTAATTACTGAAATTAATTAAAATAAGGTACTTTTAAATACAAGGATAATTTGTCATGACTTACTTTAATTTTTTAGTAATTAAGATATATATATATATATATATATATTAAGAATAGGGTAAAAGAATACAATGACGATGGTTACAAAAGCAAATAGATACTAACACTTTTCCTAGTACTTTTTGTAACAATTTTCAGTTTCTGAAAATTGGAAAAATATTAACTTGACAACCTTCTAAAAAGAAAAATTCTGAATTAGCCCTCCCTGTGAAAAACCACATATATACTCAAGTTAATTACTTAAACAAGCAACTGGCGCCTATCGTTTGTGGTTGATAACGTTTTCGTTTATCTATTTACAATATATTGGTTCTTTTTTATTTCACAAATTTCTGTAAATAGATAACGAAAACGTTATCAACCACAAACGATAGGCACCAGTTGCTTGTTTAAGTAATTAACTTGAGTATATATGTGGTTTTCACAGGGAGGGCTAATTCAGAATTTTTCTTTTTAGAAGGTTGTCAAGTTAATATTTTTCCAATTTTCAGAAACTGAAAATTGTTACAAAAAGTACTAGGAAAAGTGTTAGTATCTATTTGCTTTTGTAACCGTCGTCATTATATTCTTTTATCCTATTCTTAATACTCACTCCTTAATTCTCATTTTACTTCTAATTAATTACTCATTGGGGTTTTGTAACTTATTCAGTATTATTTTTTCCTTCCTATAGACGTAAGTACTCTCTTTTGTCTTTTCTTTTTTTCTTATTATTTGTTTTAAAAATCTGCCTAAATTATTGAGTGAATTTGACAGGGACAAAAATTCAAAGAAGATAAGTATTGACTAGATCTAAGATTTGAATTGAGTTTGTTTAGGATTAAATATTGATATTGACTTGTTTAGATAAGAATATTAGATTAATTTTATCTTTATTCTTATTATAATTAGTATAATTTTCTTTATCAATAAATGTGTACATTAACCATTGCTCTCTAATTGTCCATCATTATTACCTGAACAAAGCAAAACCTTTCAATGTTTACCCATTTGTTTAAATAATCTCGTATCAAGTTACATTTTATAAATAGGTCAGTTATATATTTAAAATAACATTATTTCTCTGTAATAATATATGTGTGCTTATGAAAATTTTAAATAATTTGAGGTAAAACAGCCTGGAGAAGCTTTTTCCAAAAGCTACTTCTCACAAAATATAAGTTTTATTTTTTAAAAATAATTGCCTTTGTGACCCTAAGTTTTTTTTTTCTCCTATAAAACCTAAATAGCTTATTGTCCATTTCTTGCAATCAAACAGTTGCAATTGTTTCTCAATTTATAGCAGTAGTCCCACACATCTCATTCAGTTTGTTTTTTGTCTTTATCTTTTCAATTGCATCAATTTTACCCTACACTTCATTTAATTCCATTGAGGACAATTTTATTATGTTGCTGCTACGTGTAACAATCTATGGACCTCCACTGCCATAGCCTCCGGCCTTCGGCGGACCCAACATACTACCGTTGGACGTGGATAAAGGATGGCAACGGATGGTAAGAGCGGAGGGTAATGTTGAAATTAAGTTAAAGTTTTGAAGGTAAAAATGTGAAAATAGTTCTAAAACAGTCTCCAAGTAATTACAAGAATCATTAGTATTGAAACAAACTCATTTTAATTATTAGTGTATGCAATATCTCTTTCTACAAAATAACTAATAAGCACTGTATGTGAACTTCAATTCCTAATACTGAACCACAACCAAAAATATATACAAAACAAGCTCTCGACCTCATTCTCCATGTAAATTCACAGACAATACTTCAACATGTCCGTCCAGAACTCTTCTTTTGGAATTTATTCAAGGTAACAAGAGTTAGCTCCCTCGCTTTATTAGTATAAATATGCTCCCTACATCTCCTCCCGAGATCCAAAGCTCTTCGTCAAGGTATCTAGTGAGCAACCACAATTCTGCATTGGTGTCGTTTGGGATGTTGAATTTCAATGGTGGTTGGTTGGAGGTGGTCTTTACTACATATGAAGCTGTGTCTTGAAGCGAGGAGATTATGCCTTTGAATGGAGTAAGATCAATCCTCTATCCAAGAAGCTCACTCTTTCTAGCAACACAACGGAGTCTATCAACTGGGGGATGCCGACAATGCCTTCCTCGAACTTGATTTGAAATAGGCCAAAATAGAAATTAATGACTTAGGAGCAAACTAAGTTTTTAAACCAATTCTTCCTATAAACCCATCACATAACACAGCATTCCAAAAGAAAACAGATATACAGAGACAAGACAGATGAACACTAGGGAATTTTTGGTAACCTTTATGCTCCGTGTCTAAACTTTTGTAAACTATAAAGACAAATACATGCCAATAGGTAGTACATCATTTACAACATTGAAAAAGTTGGCACTTTTGGCGAATATTTATGTGAATATGTACACTTTCTGCTTAAATTTGTTTAGAAAAATCATACTCTCATTCTTCTCAGCCAACATAAATTCTTTAATATTCCCTTCTCTAAAAGTCAAACAAAACATTGTCCCCAATTAGAGAATTAAAAATGATGTAGCTATTCGATTCTAGCTTGATATTCTAACTTCATAATCTCAGTCATGACAGGTCTATATAATTGACATACCTTCAAATCCTATGCATAAATAGGTAAATACCCCATTTTAATAATCAGAGTCACATCTATAAGCACAAGGATATCTATTCCCAATAATATGCTTTTGGGAAAAAAGAAATCTAAGAAATGAAAGTTATTCCCCCCCTCCCCCCAAAAAAAATGAACTCATTATTAGATCGCCAATATCAGTTGCCAGAATACATGATTAATAAAATATGACCAAAAAAAGTAATATTAGAAAATTAACCTGAAAATGCTTTGGACTTCGGACTTCAAATTTTGCACTGGTGCTAAAGGAAGTGGTAGCCAGTGGTCCAGAAAACAGGATAGAGTTATGTGCTGTAAAGTTATGAGAATCAATTGTCTGTGCTATCTCTTCCACCTTAACCAGTGGTAGTCTTCTCGACCTAATGATGCACCTAAACCAACACTATTGTTCTTAGTGTTGCGATTGCAGGTCTCAGAGCTTTTAGCGAACAGCCTAACAATCCCCATCCAAATGCAATTTCTTCCAATTTGCAGCTTTCCCCTAACAAAATAAACCTCTCTTTGCACCAAAGTTTTGAAGACGCCAAATTGCCCCCTTCTACTAACTACTCCGTTGTGACAGATTTCTATAATCATGAGCTTTTACATATCCCAGACTAGAATTTCTAGAGATGATGTGAGCTAAAGCAGCACCGAAAATCTGACTTTCACCAAAAAAATACTGGTAGGTCAGTTTAGATGCACCAGAATTATAAGTCTACTAACAGAAGTTGTGACAGAAAATTTGTGCTTTATAGATGTCTGTGTTGCATTACTCCAAAAGTCTATATCCATGTATTCAATAAAACTTCAAGTTTTCAGGATTGACTGAGATCCAAGTTGTATTAGCGCCTGCAGACTCATCAGAAGGTCCATCAACTGTAGAAACCACGTTCAATCCTTTGAGGAAAGGGAAGGACAATTTAAACAAAAAAAAAGTAACAATCCCCCTGCATCTTAGATCAACAAAGCAGTGCAGGCAGGGTCTCTTCATTAGACAGGAAAATGTAGCACCACATATATCCCCAGTTTGACCAAACTAATCAACAAAACCATCTTACATTGTTCTCCCACACAACGACACAGGGTTCTCAGTTTAAAAATCCAAAAAGGCCCAAATTTGATTATTAGGAACATCTTTGGTAGGGAGGCCTTCAGAGTTTTGGACAAGATAATACACAGTTTTCATGACAATCATGATCTACAAGGCACATATGCAGTTGGGACCCTGTTAGCTTACAGGTAATTCACAATTTACCTTTGAAATTTTTGGGATGCAAGTACTAAGTTTGACCTATCAGAAATTCATGCTACAGTCAGATAGTGCTCTTTGACACAACGTAAATTTTGATCATTCAGAATCATTTTATTACTGCAAGCACCTTTTAGCTAGGACGGTAACAGGAAAATTGAACAGCAGTTCAGCAAAGAAGCAGGTAGTAACAGCCTAATATGCAGGCAAGTCAGTATTTTTATGATGCCTAAGCCACAAGTACCCAAGTTAATTCTTACCTTCAAATCCACTAGTCAATGCACGATAACAGTACCATAGCCTTTTCATGCCACCCATAAATAGTTTGTGCTTACTGAAAAACTCCTGTCATATAGGTTAATAAGGTTTTCATTAGAATTCTAGCACACCTTGGTACTGGAAATATCAAGCATGACTTAAATTGTTGAGAATCATATGACTTTGTTTGGGCCTAGTGTGATGACTTTCTAAGTTATAGATCATCTGAACCAGATCGTCCGCCTCCAAGTGTCTCCAATATCCATCGAGTTCTCTTCCATCTCAGATCTGGCCAAATCCAACAGCTACTTTCTTGTGTTTTAACGAATCGACCTCTGACTTGTTGGTCAACCCTTCATCAAGAAGTCGAACTATGATCAATGGCCTTAGACTCTGATCTGTCCACCCTCATTCACCGAAAAACACAGATGCTCGCTAAGGTCAGTTTGAAATCTAGTTCGAACGGCTGCTAAAAGTTTATGCGGGACGTCGGATGCTGGATGCCAGAAAGATGGCCGGACGTGTGAAAAATATGAAAGGTTTATTAATATAAAATAAAGAAATGGTCAATTGATAGCAAGTGTAAATATAAAAGACTTACACCACATCTTACACCGTTCATTTGGTCAAAATTGTTAGCCTCAAGATTTCATATTTATTTTGATAATGACAAAACAAATTAAAATTATTATATATTTTTATATAATGAATAATATGGACAATTTATAATATTAAGTTTATTGTTTAACTACATTACATGTATTAAATTGTGAAGCTGTCAAATTAGACATGTGTGTAGTAAATTAATTATATCTTACTATAGAAAAGTCAAAAAAATTGTAAAGGCAATTTTATATGAAACTACACTCAAATATCTTTATTTTGATATATAATTCATCATATATATTCTTTTGTATTAAAGCAGTTTATTATATCAATCTTATATATTATTTTCTGAAAAAGTCATTCTTGAAATCTACACGATATTTGTTTTAATTAGTAAAATATAATTTATAATATAAATAAAATTCTGAATTAATTTTATTTGTAAAGTAGACGTGTTGAGCTTTAAATAAATATATTATTTGCACATTTTACACTTATAGTTTGATAGATATAATTTTTCAAAATGGGTCATTCTGCTGAGTTGCACTGTCAGTAGACAAAATGAGTATACTACAATATTTTTATAATATCTCAAAATATAAAAGTCAAATTCAAACGAGTCCAAATTTGAATGAAAGTAGACGTTATAAGCTTTTCAAATATATATAATTGTTATTTTTGAATACAAATTCAAATTTCTAGATAATTTTGAACTTGGCCAACAACTTTTAACAAAAGCAATTTTATAGTCTGGCATGTCGTTGAAGATTTGATGGTTTCTCTCAAACGGTGCACGATAATTGAATGATTCTTTTTGAATTTGAAAATAGACTCAATGAGGTGTATTCAAGAATATTTTAAGATTTTTTGAACGTCCGGAGCCATTTTATTTGAATTTTTGAATCGAGCCAATGTGTAGTTACTGTTGAGAAATGATTTTGTCTTCCACAAAGGGCAACGTCTCCTTGGTGTTTTTGCCTATAAAAGGAGCATGGATTGAAGGGAGAAGGATACACCAACAAGCTCTCAAAGCCTCTTCAATCTCTCTCTAATTCTTTGTACTATATTATTTATTACTAGATCAAAGAGTGCATAAAGAAAATTGTTTTATTCATGAGAGTGCCTTTTTGAAGTGAGATCATTTTGTACATGAGTGGTAGCTAATCCTACTTAAGAGGAATTGCTACATTTCTACTTCATTTTCATTTCTATTTGTATTGGTGTTTGAAGCTCATCGAATCAAAGGCTTTGTAATCGGGATTTCTTGCCTCCGCCAAGTGCAAGTGACTTTGTTTGTATTCAGAATTTCTTGCCTCCGTCAAGTACAAGAGACTTAGTGGAACCTCGACTAGTTGGAGCTCGAAGAGTGGACGTAGACTTGAATAGCAGGTCGAATCACTATAAAAGAGTTTGCATCTCTTATCCATACTCTCTTAACTTTACTTGAAATTGTTTTATATTTATTATTGGGTGAATTGTATTAGTTTATTTGATTCAATATTTTTATTATTTTTAATTTTTTCACACACTTAGCTTCCGCGATAAAAACTCAATTCACCCCCCTCTTGGTTTGCCTTTTGGGACAACAATTGGTATCAGAGCGAAGCTCTATATATTGGCCTTAAAAAGTCTTTAGAGTAAGATCATACATATGACAACTATTGGTACACATAGGGTTATGGAAGGTCAATCAATTATTAGACCACCTTTCTTTAATAGTAGTGATTATGGTTATTGGAAAATTAGAATAACCATTTATCTTCAACAAATGGATTATGAGATTTGAAATATTATTGAAGAAGGATATAAATCTCGCATGATAGTTAAAGAGAATGAACTTATTGTTAAAGAGAAGAAAGATTGGGATGAAAATGATAAAAGAAATTTTACAACTAATGCAAAAGCAATGAATATATTATTTTGTGCTCTAGATAGAAATGAATTTAATAGAGTCTCTACATGTAAAACGATACAAAATATTTGGAGAACTCTTGAAATAACACATGAAGGTACAAGTAGAGTTAAGGACACAAAACTCAATATGCTTAAACATGAGTATGAACTCTTTATGATGAAACCAAGTGAATTTATTAAAGAAATGTTTACTCATTTTACGGATATTATTAATGGTATGATTTCTCTTGGTGAAAGTTTTAATGATGAAATTTTTGTAAAGAAAATTCTTAGGATTCTACCAAAGAGTTGGGCTCCAAATGTGACCGCCATACAAGAAGCGAAAGATCTCTCCAAGATTTCTATTGAAGAGCTTCTAGGGTCACTAATGACCTATGAAATGACTCAAAGAAATGAAGAGGAGGAAGAACCAGAAAGAGGAAGGAGTATTGCTCTAAAGTCTATTATGAAAGAAAACTCCAATGATAGTGAAGTAGAAAGTGATGATGAAATTGCATATATTGCAAAAAGAGTCACTAAACTACTCAAAGAAAGAAATTTGAAGGAGACAAAAGAGAGGTGATCAAAAAGAAAATCTTTCCAAGAAAGATATTGTATGCTATGAATGCAAGAAACGTGGGCACATAAAACCGGATTGTCCACTTCTAAAGAAAAAGAAGAAGAAGGAAAAAGAAGTCATAAAAGCCACCACTTGGGATCTAAGTGATGAAAGTGATTCGGTGGATGAATCAATGGAAGTGACATTGCTAACTTATGTCTCATGGCTACTAGAGAAAGTGATAATGAGGTAAGTTCATCTTCTTCTACTTCTAGCACTTCAAATTTATCTTATGATGAGCTATTGTATGCATGTGATGAACTACAAAATGAATTAGCAAATCTTGGAAAGAAATATAAAGATTTGAAAAAGAAGTTTTCAAATATTTCTAATGAAAATGCTAGTTTGAAAATTGAAAATGATAATTTGAAAACTCAACTTACTTCTTTATCTAAGAATGAAACAAATGATATATTGAGAAAAAGAGTTGAAGAGCTTACAAATGCTTTATCTAAATTTACTCAAGGAAAGGAAAATTTAGATAAATTACTTGCTACTCAAAGATATGGTTTTAATAAAACCGGATTAGGTTACAAGGCTTGTCAAGGACAAAAGTTTTATAAAAATTATTCTGTAAAAAGTTTTTATCAAAGTAGTCCATTTATTACATGTTATTATTGTGGTGGAAATGGACATTATGTATGTGATTGTTCATTAAAAAGAAAATTGTTTGTTGAGCCTAAAAATATTTTAATTCCAAATGATTATAAATGGAAAGGAAAATGTAACATTGCATCTATTTGGGTTCCTAAAGGAACATATG